ATTTAGAAATGTTCAAAGCCGAGCGCCTGGCTGGCTCAGTCGGTAGAGCATGCAATGCCTGATCTTGGGGTTGTGAGTTCGAGCCCCATGTTGGGTGTCGAGATTACTTAAAAATAAAATCTTAAACAAAAATAACAGTGTTCAAGCAGCATGATCCAACATTTACACCTCTTAGGACCTATCCCGTAGAAATGCTTCAGTATGCAGTTATGTTGAGAATCCCTAAAGAATCATTGGAAATTAGAAACAACTCAATGGACCATCAAGAAACAAATGCTTAAACCAGCTCACCTACACTACAGAAGACATGTGCCATCACAAAGGACAGGGAGCTGTGAGTATTGACAGGAGAATGTGTCCAAGATATATAACTAAGAAAAAAATATGTGGGACACTATTTATGATTCAATCCTATTTTGGTTTTTGAAAGCAGTAATGCCGGCCTGAATTCATTTGGGAGAAGTGTGAAAGGCAAGAAAGATCTGAAGGGACATGCACGACAATGCCAGTGGTAATCCTGGGGTAGGAGTGGAGGTGAAATTGGGGGCATTTTTCTTTTTTGTTTGTTACATATGTATTACATTTGTTAGAGTTTATGCAACATATGTGATCAGAAAACACACACACACACACACACACACACGCAGAAGCAGCCAGGTATCCGTACTTGCGGGCTCTGTCGCTCCTGGGCATCCTCAGAGGTGGCCCGGGACAAGCACAGGGTCTTGGTAGGCGTCCCTCAGCACGTGTCAGCAGAAATCAAACTCTATCTTCACGGGACACACGTGCTGAGGCTCATCTGGATATATGAACCCTGAGTTTTCTTCCCAAACTGTGCTCTATACTCATTTGGCGGGGCGGGGGGGAATGGAGAGAGGCTCTCTAGTATTTAATAGAAGTTCGAGAGTTTGGCTGAGACCCAGGAGACGTGGGGCCAAATCCCACCACAGGGGGATAACAATAGCTGGCCTCCCTGTTCCACGAGGTTGTTGTGAGCATCAGACCAGGTTTTGGATGCAAAACGACTTTCCGCACGAAAGGGAACACAGAGCAAATGATCTTCCTATTCTGCGCCCCACGGGGACTGCAGAGGGTCACCGGGAGGGAGGACAGCCCCTGAGCCCCCACCTGGCGGCGCAGAGAACTGCAGAGAAGGACAATAAGCAGGCACGGCCCCTTCCAGGGCCGGTGGTGAGGGTCTGCGTTCCCTGTTCACTTCCCAGCACGCAGCCCCGAGCCCCGCCAGCAGGCAAGACAGCTTCCCAGCCCCCAGCAGCATCTCTGTTCCAAACCCTGGTGCCTGCGAGTCAGAGGTGTCGCACACTGCAGTGAGCCGGCGGCATGTGACTGCAGAATGTCAGTGGCTGCAGAACCCGCTGGAGGACACAGCCAGGCTCCCACGGGTCCCACCTGCTGCGGCCCAGGCGCGGTCAGGCAACAGCGGCTACCGCTCACAGCCCACCTGGAACTCTGCGCCCCTCTCCCACCCTCGCCCTTACCACTGACATTCCGGCTGAGATCTGGGATTTCTGTGCAAAACGACTACAGAAGCCAATCGGGCTTTGTACAGGTCAGATGAATCATTCCCCAACTCATTGCTCCCAGTTGAACCACTTTCCGCTGCCTCAGCCATCCCTCCAGCTCAGCAAAGTGCTGCTGAGCATCGCAGGCAGGTGCAGGCTCTCACAGACAAAGGGGGGCGGGGGTAGGGGGCCGATGAGGGCAGATCAACACCTTTGCTTTCCAGGAGAAGGGGGCTGGTGAAGAGATGGGGCTTACCACTTCATTCTGATGGAGAGAAAAAGGTGGCTGGGTACACAACTCCTTTGGGCTATAGGCATTTCCCATTTTACAGCATTCATCCATTTGGCCTCAAGGCACTTTCCAAAAATAAGCTGAAGGGGCTGCCTCCATCGCTCAGAGTGGTCCAGCACACCCCACCCTGCCCCAGCGGCTCCCCTTCCCTGTCGCTCACTCCCCTGGAGCCACCCTGGCCTCCTGGCCCGTCCTCAAACCTGCCAGACACACTCTCGGCTCCGGGCCTGTGCACTTGCCATTGGCTCTGTCTGGAGTGCTCTTCCCCCAAGTATCTTCCTGGTCACTCCCCTCACCTCCTTCTGATCTTTACGCAAATACCAACTTCTCAGTGTGGCCTTCTCTAAACAACTGACCTAACCGTAGAGCCCCCATCCCTGTATACTCTGCATCCACCTTCCTGACTCAAGTTTCCCCCATAGCATTTAACCTCACTTGACATTCTATCTCCTGTATTATCTTCCTTATGGCCTGTCTCCTTCCAGTACAACGTAAGCATCCCCTGAGGGTAAGGGTTCCGTCTGCTTTGTTTTCTGCTGTGTTCTCAGTGCCTGGCACGACATCTGGCACAGAGTAGGTGCTCAGTGAATGGCTTTTGCCGTGATTTGCTTTGCTAACCTCCAGTCCTGGCACCTTGGCCCTTCTATGTAGACGGGTGAGCAGAGCCACAGGAAAGGTAAAGGAATGGAGGAGAGAGGTGACGAGAGGAGCATTAGCAAGTACGGGGAGGTGGTAAGGAGCAAAGTGAAGGTCAGGAGATTTCTGATTAAGTAACAGAAGGCTTGGAGAAGGGCACATGCCGAGGAGGAGGAACCACACGGCAGAGAGGGAGACTCTCCAGAAGACTCTCCACAAGGTCACTTGAACAAGCAGTCGACGCTCAGGCAGTAGACACGGGGCTTGTCTGCAGCCTTGTCTCTTGCTATAGAGCCATCCTCTGTAGGCCAAGGAGCTGCGGACAGCAGGCCTGGGAACAGGAGCAAGAAACCAGGAAGGGAAGGGAGGGAGAGAAGGCGGGATGGGGCCAAGTAAAAGACCACATGGATGATCCAGGGAAGTCTGGGTGGCAGACAGCTGGGCCATGGAAGGAACCAAAGGTGAGAAGCCAGGGGAAGTTCAGTAGGACAGAAAAGGGAGCAGACTGGAAGGGCAGTAGAGAGAAGGTGGCCTTGGAGGAAGGGCAGAGGTGGGAGCAGGCCTGAGGACACTGCTATTACATATTACACAGGGCCAGACACACCTCACAGGCCCTGTGGGCGGGGGCGTCACTGTTGCTCCTACCACCTGCCATGGAATTCCGTGCCTCTTTCTTTCTTTCCTTTTTTTAAGTTTTATATCTTTATTATCCTTAAGTTCTTTTATTTTTTTAAGTTTACTTATTTTTTTTAGTAATCTCTATAGCCAACATGGGGCTCGAACTCATGACCCCAAGATCAAGAGTCACATGCTCCTCTGACTGAACCAGCCAGGCATCCCTATCCTGAAGTTCTTAATTCTCATGCTCTTTCCCAAGGATGGATGGAGATATATATATATATATGTGTGTGTATATATATATTTATTAAAAATAAATATATATTTATTTAAAATATATTTATATATTTACAAATATAAAGTATATTTGTAAATATAAATTTGGAAAATTTTTACTATTTTGGTCATGTTTAGGAGGGTTAATATTATGGTGTCTTTCCCTTGAATTTGGTAACAAGGTCAGAAAAGTCACTCTCTGAAATGGAATCCATCAAAATCAATAAAGAACAGATGCTTTTAGCCACTTGCCAAATAATTCAAATTAAGAGGCAATTTATAAATGGAGATACAGAGACTAGAATGCTTCTTGAGGCACTCCCTAGGAGAAGAGGTTTTGAGACTAGAGTTTCTCAGTCTAATCAAGGTGATCAATTAGGATCTATCTTCAGAACTGGAATGCATTTAATGCAAATGAAGTTGTAAGTTAATCCAATCATCTAACATATCCAATCTGATATCTGAAGTACACTGTATGGAGTTTAGTTAAAGATAGTACAAGAAACAAGAATTTTGAGGGTATATCCAGCTGGTTCAAAGGAGATTCTTCTCTGATTTGAAAGCCCCAATCCTGATTTTCTAGACATCCTGATCTGGAGAATGGAAACAAATCCAGCTACCCTAGCTAATGATAATATTTCTCAAAAACATCTAATTACCTTTGTTCTAATTCTTTGCTTACTAAGCTAGCTTGTGATCCAAATCTGTAAGAAGGCCACTTTAAAGGAATGCCCACCACAAAGGTTCTAAGCTAAGAACCGCATCTGTAATCTGGCCAGAGAGAAATAGCCTATTGTTAACTGGCAAATGGGCATGCTTGTACACATGCCTTCAGTCACCTGTGAGTTTTGGGAAGTTGTGTTTTGGTTGCCCTAGGCCTGGTTACCCCAGGCAGTGGAGATAAAATTCTGTTACCTAGCCCCACAAAGCTGAGGACTGGTCAAGAAGCTCTGGGTTAGCCTTGTCCAGGTGTTGACAACAGGGAGTTTGTCCGAAGCAGTCAGCCTATTTCTCCTTTTTGTTTTCTCTCTCTCTCTCTCTCTTTTTTTTTTAAGATTTTATGTATTTGAGAGAGAATATAAGCAGGAGGAGGGGCAGAGGGAGAAGCAGGCTCCCCACTGAGCAGGGAGCCCGATGTGGGGCTCGATCCCAGGACCCTGAGATCATAACCTGAGCCGAAGTCAGGCGCTTAACCAACTGAGGCACCCAGGTACCCCTTTGTCTTCTCTTTTAGCTGCAATCAAATTCAGTGGCCAAAATATATAAATAAATAAAGAGGAGTCCACAGTGCTACATCTGACATGATTTCAATAAACTTGGCATCACGTCACCAATATGCTACACACTTTCCAGTACATGTTTAATCAACCCATTGTCTAAGCATTCCTCCCTAAAGGAGCAGAGGACTGAATGCATGATATAAACTCTCTCGTCTGAGATGTTTGTGGCTCTTTTGTCCTATAATCAGGGCAACTTAATGAAAATAGTAGCAGAGGGAGCTAAGAAAATAGCTCAGGAGGACAAACAAAGGGCTTACCCTTTATCTCTGGAAGATTCAACCAGCTCCACTCTCTTTTCTGGAGATCAAATCCTCCTCAATGCCACAGCTTTCCAGCTCAATAGCAGAAGACCAGATTCAGACCTGTTCTTTCTAGCCAAAATAATTTTATTCCATTTTGCCTATTTTGATAACAGTTTCCTTCCCTTCCCTGCCTCCAAATGCATTTCTGTGCTCTGATCTGCCTCTTGAGCAGCCGAGGATGACTAGCTCTGGCTGTTCCTCGTTATCACAAGGAAGAACAGTCTCACCATGGAAGAATATCAAGATATGTGACACATGTGCCACTCAGGAGGGTGATCAACCTCTTCAGTTCAAGTGACAAGAATGGTCCATTAGTCAAATTTTACCAGTCGTGTTAAAAATATACTTCCATCAAGTAGACTTCCTTCTCTAAATGCTATAGGACAGTGAAAAATGTGTAGATAAATGAGATTTGTAATCTTTTGTCTTCTAAGGACACATGCTTCAGGCAGGGTGCAGGACGGCTAAATAGATGCTTTAGGAAGGTCAGCCTGAAGACACAAATGGCCAGACACATAAAGCCATCCAGGGTCAGCCATACTGACCCCACCAAAGAGGCAGTGGGGCCACCTGCTGGAAGGTTTGGACATTGCTCTGGCTGCTTAGACCTCTACCTCCTTGATGTCCTTTGAGCGAGGTCTATGGCAGAACCACAATCTTTTTCTCCAGCTTCTGTGGTGGGAAGAGGAAATTTCTCATTATCTCATCCAGCTCTTCAAGGGCCAGCTGGGCATGGAGCTTGGCCACGTCATCGGGCTCCAAGCGCACCACATGTTTCAGCAGGTGGTAGAGATCCTTGAGGACATCCCTCAGCACCTGTATGAGAGAGACAGCGTCATGACGATCTGTCCACTGTGCCAGAAATTTCTCAGAACGACCTATCTACCGTCTCCTTCCTGAGAAGTTCTGTAAGGAAACTCACAGGCTCCCTGAGGAAGATTCTGAATGGCCTTCTCAGATGGAAGGAGGGGTAGCTGTACTGAGATAGGCTTCCCTTTGGGTTTCTCATGACCCCTGACACCTCACTATACTGGCCTTGGGGGCTGCTACTCCCTTTTATCTCCAGGCCAAAGTAGAGATCCCAGGCCCCTTCGTTCAGTCCCAAAGCATGGCACAGAACTCAGGACCACAGACAGGTCATGGTGCCCAGATAGGGTGACCTAGGGTGCCCAGATAGAGCATAATTACCAGCACCTTCTTCTTTAGGTCCCACAAAGCCCTCTGCGGACACTCATCTGCAGACATCTATCTTACGAGACCCAGAAGGCTATCTCTTCAGCAAGCATGCCTTTCCTTGCCACTGCTTTAAAAATTTTCCACCCCCCCAAAAAAAGAAAAAAAAACCCCAAAAATAGAACACAAAATAAAAAAATAAATAAAATAAAATAAATTTTCCACCCCAGTTCCAACTCCATGCCCTTCTTCAAGTCACTATAATTTTATTTTTCAACAGCAACATTGCAACAGGAAACAACGGAGGGCTCTGTAGATAGAGCCACACTCATCTTTCACTTCCAGTGCTCTCATCTTAGGCTCTGGTATAGAACTGGGAGGGTGCCAAAGCACCTACTCCCCGGAGCTCCTAATTTCCTCCAAAATCCTCTTGGCTTTGGAGTTACAACTTTTAGCAGGAAACAGGTTTCAAAAGAACAGGTAAACTCAAGTAAGAGGCCTTAAGGATCAACTGGCCAAACTAGAGACTGAAGACTCTGGGTCACAGGGGGTCACATGACTTGTCTGCGGCTCCTTGTGAAATTACTTCTGGTCTAGGGCTCTTTGCCTCAAAAGCTACTATTTTTGCATCAGGTACTGTATGAAGTATTTTTCATATATTATTCAATTTTTATGTGAAACATATTAGCCCCATTTTACAGAAGAAAACATAGATTAGAGGGTTATATAACATCCCAAGATTACTCGGCTAAAAAAATGGGGGAGCCAGATTTTAAACATCCAGAGCCTGTGTTCTTATTTGTTTATTTTTATGGAAAAGGTAATACAGTACAAAAAAGTACACATTAAAAAATAAGTCTCAGGGAGGGGGGCCTGGGTGGCTCAGTTGGTGAAGTGTCCGACTCTTTTTTTAAAAAAATTTTTTATTAACATATAATGTATTATTTGGTGTTGAGTTTGATAAATTTGGGGTATAGGTCTGTGATTCATCAGTCTTAAACAATTCACAGCACTCACCATAGCACATACCCTCCCCGTTGTCCATCCCCCAGACACCCCATCCACTGACCCCCTCCACTCCAGCAACCCTCAGTTTGTTTCCTGAGATTAAGAGTCTCTTATGGTTTGTCTCCGTCTCTGGTTTCGTCTTGTTTCATTTTTCCCTCCCTTTCTCTATGATCCTCTGCCTTGTTTCTCAAATTCCACATATCAGTGAGATCATATGATACTTGTCTTTCTCTGATTGACTTATTTCACTTAGCATAATACCCTCTGGTTCCATCCACGTCATTGCAAATGGTAAGGTTTCATTTTCTGATGGCTGCATAATATTCCATTGTATATACATACCACGTCTTCTTTATCCATTCATTTGTCAATGGACATCCAGGTTCTTTCCATAGTTTGGCTATTGTGGACATTGCTGCTATAAACATTGAGGTGCATGTGCCCCTTCAGATCACCACATTTGTATCTTTGGGGTAAATACCCAGTAGTGCAATTGCTGGGTCGTAGGGTAGCTCTATTTTCAACTTTTTTTTTTTTTTAAGATTTCATTTATTTGACAGAGAGAGAGAGAGAGAACAAGTAGGCAGAGAGGCAGACAGAGGGAGAGGGAGAAGCAGGCTCCCCGCCAAGCAGGGAGTCCGATGCAGGACTCGATCCCAGGACCCCGGGATCATGACCTGAGCCGAAGGCAGCCGCTTAACCGGCTGAGCCACCCAGGCGCCCCCTATTTTCAACTTTTTGAGGAACCTCCATACTGTTTTCCAGAGTGGTTGCACCAGCTTGCATTCCCACCGACAGTGTAGGAAGGTTCCCCTTTCTCCGCATCCCCGCCAACATCTGTCGTTTCCTGACTTGTTAATTTTAGCCATTCTGACTGGTGTGAGGTGGTATCTCATTGTGGTTTTGATTTGTATTTCCCTGGTGCCGAGTGATGCTGGGTACTTTTTCATGTGTCTGTTGGCCACTTGGATGTCTTCTTTGCAGAAATGTCTATTCAGGTCTTCTGCCCATTTCTTGATTGGATTATTTGTTCTTTGGGTGTTGAGTTTGATAAATTCTTTATAGATTTGGGATACTAGACCTTTATCTGATACATCATTTACAAATATCTTCTCCCACTCTGTCAGTTGTCTTTTGGTTTTGTTGACTGTTTCCTTTGCTGTACAAAAGCTTTTTATCTTGATGAAGTCTCAGTAGTTGATTTTGCCCTTGCTTCCCTTGCCTGTGGCAATGTGTCTAGGAAGAAGTTGCTGTGGCTGAGGTCGAAGAGGTTTCTGCCTGTGTTCTCCTCAAGGATTTTGATGGATTCCTGTCTCACATTTAGGTCTTTCGTCCATTTTGAATCTATTTTTGTGTGTGGTATGAGGAAATGGTCCAGTTTCATTCTTCTGCATGTGGCTGTCCAATTTTCCCAACACCATTTGTTGAAGAGACGGTCTTTTTTCCATTGGATATTCTTTCCTGCTTTGTCAAAGATTATTTGACCAGAGAGTTGAGGGTCCATTTCTGGGCTCTCCATTCTGTTCCATTGATCTATGTGTCTGTTTTTGTGCCAATACCATACTGTCTTGATCATGACTGCTTTGTAATAGAGCTGGAAGTCCTGAAGTGTCTGACTCTTGATCTCAGCTCAGGTCTTGATCTCAAGGTCGTGAGTTCAAGCCCTACTTAAAAAAAAAAAAGTCTCTCTTCTACTCCAGGCTCTTAGTTTCCTTTCTCAGAGGATATCATGCTTAATTGAGAAATGTTCTAGGTATTTATAAGCACACATTGTGCCTTTCCCCCCGCCTTAAAACTACAGAATTATATTTTATGTTGTTATATGCCATCATCCCCGCTGACTTATTATATTTTGAAGATATTTCATATAATTGGCACACACAGAAATACTTTAAAAAATGGCTGCACAGGATGCATGTCACACAATTTATCTGCCAATGAAACTCATTTTTTTATCTTTTGATATTGCAAATATTGCTGCAATAAACACTCTACCTTTCTGTCTTTGCAGACATGAACAAGTGTATCTATAGGACAAATATCTAGAAATGGAATCTCTAGGTCAAAAGGTAATGCACACATAAAATTGTGACAGATGTGGCCAGAGAGTTGCAATAATCTACATTTCCACATAACATTATATTCTCATCAGTGCTATGTACTGTAAATTGTTTATCTTTGCTTATCTACTAAGTGAAAAATAACATCATGCTGTTTTAAATATGCATCTAATAAATAAACTATATATTTTTTCTGGTATGTGTAACTGAACTTTACCTTACTGATTTGTAAGAGCTCTTTGTATATAAAAAAAAAAAGGTCTCTTACTTATTATATAAGTCACAAATGTTGTTTGTCATAGTTGGCATTTTTTTCTTTGCAAAATTTTTTTTCCAGGGGAGAAATTTGCACTTTTGATGTAGTTAAATTTATTAATTTTTCCTTTATGGTTTCTGGATCTTGTATTTTGCTTAGAAGAGGGCCTATAATAACCATGATGTTATGCTGTATTGTTTCTATTTATTAATAGTGCCACCTAACATGAATCATGTTGGGTTTATGTCACGATATGCAGGCATCTCTGACAATAACTGGTTCAAATGGTCTCTAAAACTTTCTCTCACCACTTTATTTATTTTTAAGGATTGTTTTATTTTTTATTTTATTATTATTTTTTAAAGTAGGCTCCATGCCCAATGTGGGGACTGAAATCATGACCCTGAGAGCAGGAGTCACACACTACTGACTGAGCCAGGTAGGTGCCCCTTTCTGTACTTTGGAACTTCAAGCATTGGCTGTACCCTGAAGTCTATGCCAATGTATAATTTCCAAAAAGGAGGAAGATCAGAAAAAAAGAAATAGGAGAATGTAGACATTCATCCATTTTTTCACTTTTGTGGCTTTTCATAGAAACCTCATAATAAATATATATTATAGCCTATGTACTATAAACATGGACTGTCTCTGAAAAAAAATAAAATAAAAAACTGGTTGCCTGGGGCGCCTGGGTGGCTCAGTCGGTTAAGCATCTGCCTTCGGCTCAGGTCATGATCCCAGGGTCCTGGGATCGAGCCCCACATCGGGCTCCCTGCTCAGCGGGAAGCTTGCCTCTCCCTCTCCCACTCCCCCTGCTTGTGCTCTGTCAAATAAATAAATAAAATCTTAAAAAAAAAAAACAAAAAAACAACTGGCTGCCTCCAGGGAAGGTAACTGGAGAGGGATATGGGAGAATTATATACTCTTGTACCTTTTTAATATTGTATTTTATGAACATATTACCTACTAAAGAATAAATAAGCTTTTTGATTAACTGAATTAACTACTAGGCAAGGGTTTTCCATAAGGCCACTTAATAGGTAGAAGAGATACAGAACCTGACTTTAAAGGCTCACTGTCTGGTAGGGACGGTAAGTCATACACATAAATAAAGAATACAGAACAAATACAGTAAGTGTCCTAACAGAGCACAGAGAGAGTATAAAGAGGGATTACAGGAAACAGAGGTTACATTTTAGGAACAGGAAGTGAACTGGAGATGGTGAGCAGAAATGACAGGAAATGCTTAATTCGGTGGGTAACAAGTACAGTTGACTCTTGAAAAACACAGGTCTGCACTGTATGGGTCTATTTATGTG